GATCGCTGGAACTGAAAATACAGAAACACAAATACAACGTGAAAGAGAAAAGAGATTATCATCAAATCACTGAGAGAGAGGATCAACAGGGTAGATCTAAATCTTGGTTGAACTCACTCCAACCAGATTCCATCATTTCTTGGAACCATTTAGCTGAAATGTTTTTAAAAAAGTATTTTCCTCCCACCAAGAATACTAAGTCCATAAATGAAATATGTTTTTTTTTCAAGAAATAGATGATGAAACAGTTTCTGATGCATGGGAAAGGTACAAAGAAGTGTTGAGAAAATACCCTCATCACGGCATTTTCTACTACATTCAACTAGAAACATTTTAGAATGGTTTAACAACCATTGCTAAAACTTGATGTTACTACAGGAGGGCCTTTTACATATAGTGCATACAATGATGGTTATGACATTTTGGAAAAAAAAAATATACTAATGATAGGCATTATTTTGATCCAAGAGTAATTGAACATAAGAAAGCATTAGGAGTTCATTAACCTGATCCATACACTGTTATGCAAGCATAACTACATCTATGGCTAATATGATTATAAATATGACTACTATCCCTAGTGTGCAAGTTGTGGATGCTATAACAAATCCTTCTGAGTTACCTGTGTTAGTGTGTGTGTTGTGGAGACAATCATTTGTATGACAATTATCCACAAAATTTGGAAATGTGTGTTATGTCAATAATATGGGTCATGCTTATTCTCAAACATATAATTTTGGTTGGAGATAGCACCCTACCTTTTCTTGGCTTAAACCATCTTTAAATCCTCAGACAGTTAAGAAAGCTACATCATCCATATCATACTAGCAAAATACCAGCAACACCAGTACCAATATCAGTAGAATCAATCAAACCAGTACCAAAGCAGTCAATAACACTCTAACCAAAACTATTTTCAAGACAGTAAATCAACTCCTCAGACAGCGTCGACATCATCTTTGGAAGCTATGACGAAAATTTTCATTAACCAAATTGTTGATCCAAACTCTGTCGATGATTTGATGATGACATTCCATATTTAGTAAAAAATATGTGTTCTATTTTTGTTCAGTTTCAGCAATCATCACTGATTTTGTTCAATGATCGCTGAATTTGTAAACTTCTCAAAGAACAACTATTCCTCAAAGAAAAAACTCAAACCAAAGGAACCTTTAGCCAGGGCCGGGTAGAGACCAAAGATCTTGAATGACCGATTTAGCAGAACAACTAAAAAGATAAAGAAGTATTGTTAATATCTCCAGGATGTCGAAGAAGTAGCTAAAAATAGAGATATAAGAGTTCATGATCTGAAGTGGATTCAATGATAACAAGAATGTCAAATCTAACCAAGACTTAGCGAACACTAAAGAACCCTCGACATGAATCAATGTCAACGATTAAATGAAACTTGCTTTGCAAGATTAGTTTTTGTCTTATCTGATATGCACAAAAGGACAACCCTATACCTTACACAGAAAGGTACATGTACAGAGTTATTTATTGTCTCCAAACGTACTTATTAACTTTGTAAAAGTCAACTGTTCATTTGCGGTCAAAATCCTGTATTTCTGAAGACACAGGGCAAGCTCTCAAATAGAAGTCTGCCATGTAGCTTGTACTCTCTGACTTACATTTAATACAATGGGTATAAATACTGAGAAGACTCCTCTTCTCAAACTCTCTTCTCTCTTGTTCTTACTTTCTTTGTGCATCTTCTGTGTGATTCTTAAATTGTTTAGATTAAGTTTTAACCTTATCTTTTTCTGCAACAATCTGTAAAATTATGTATTGATCTTCTTTAATCAATAAATGAATTTAAAAATTGAAAATTTGTGTGTTTGTATTCAACACCCCCCTAAATTGTTACCTTTAAAACTCTTGTAGATCCGTTTAGAACCAACACAAACCAAAGCTTCCATGAGATGTCTTGAAACTCAAATGAGCTAACTAGCTTTAGAAGTAAGAAGTAAACCTAGTGGATACCTCCCTAGTGACATTGAAACACCAAAAAATAGAGGCAAAGAACAGGTTAAACTTGTAATATTGAGGAGTAGAAAGGACTTGATTGAAAGTAGTAAGAAACATGTGACTATGTTTGATCCTTAAACTGACAACAGTGCTACAACATCTCTCCTAGTCACTATTGTAGCATCTTCATAATCTAAGCCTAGGGTTTGTAGAGACCGTGAATTGGTTATGCATTTCTTATACCAGCCTCTATAGCCACACCATCCACCAAACTCTACCACCTAGATTTGGATTTTCTTCCAAAAAAGAATAATATGTTAATTAGACCATAAATGCAAATCAAAAACATCAAAACCCATATTTATACAATTCTAAATCAGAAACATTGAGACCCAAATTTATAGAAAAGTATTTAAAACCCAGGTTTATAGAAAAACATTCACTAGAAAATTTTGGACCAAAAGTGGTGGTGATGGTCGAAAACCAGAAGATGTTGAAACACCTATAGCAAAACCGTTTGTTTCAAAACCAAAGAGGGTCGGAGAAGCAGAGGGGTTTGAACATCCTCTTCGGCCATTGATTTTTTAATTAAAGAAATCGTATAACAAGGGTTTTAGCAACGATTTTTGTCGTTGATAAAATTCAATTCATTGTCACAAACGGTTTATAGAGACGATTTGTCGACGTGATAGCTTCTTGCTAAAACATGTCGTCGTTAAAGGCACATCGCTGAAACTCATTTTTCTTTATAAGACTATTTATTCTCTTGAATTCATTGTACATATATGTATGTTTGTATGTGTGTGTGTGTGTGTGCATATATACAGAGGAGGGGGGGGGGGGRGGTTCAGGCAAAACCCCTAAAAATGAAAAATTGAGGAAAACTCTGGTAACCATTCATATGGACAGTTTGCACATGTGCATACAAGTAGTTCAAATTGCTTCTTGGTTTTTAGAACATGCACATGTGCATCCCAGACAAATTGCATACAATTACTTATATGCATTTGTGCATACCATCGAGATGAACAATTACTAAGGTTTTCCACAATTTTTCATTTTTGTACGGTTTTTCCCTGAATCTGGCCCTATATGTGTATGTGCGTGTGTGCATGTGTGCGTCTATTTACTTTTACTATATTATAAAACATCATTTCATGTTCTTAAAAAATATTTTAAAATATCAAGTTTACGAATTATTATAGCATACGTGCAACTTCTTAAAACTCAATCTTTAGATGTTATAAATTTATTTTGATGAACATGATCAAATATAATATAAGTATTAAGTCATCCTTATATAGAATAATGCATAAAACGGATAACCAACTTGATTTTTTTTTTACTTTTTCAAAACCACACAAAAATATAGAATAAAATATGAGGGATAGAAAACAAAACGAAACATGAAACAATACTAGGAGTTCGAGTTCTCAGTTTTAAAATTGACAAAGTATCGAATTGCAATTGTTTGAATTGATAAGTTCTTTCAAAAACTTTTATTTAAATTTTTTATAATATATATTATATAGATATATAAAAATTATTTACAAGATCTAGTCGCACGCAAAAGATGACCTATGTTATAAGGAGAAGTCAACAACATCATTTTCTTTTATTTAATTTATAGAAATAAGTTATTTATGATCTTTAAAGCAATAAAATAAATATGAAATTGACATTGTTATCTATTACTGTAGGAACGATTTAAATATGTTTCCATCAATTATTTATGACTTGCGATCTACACACTAATAACATATCATAAATGTCAAAATATCCAATGAGATTGCAGTGCATTGATCACATTAATAGCTTGAAGATGATTTTCTTATATTCTATGGACAAATGTTGACATATATATTCTTATATACATATATATATATATATATATATATATTCTTCAACACAAATCTTGATGAATAAAAGACCTAATTAATGTTTTTGTATGTATTTCCTTTTATCTCCACATATTTCTATATAGTTGCAAGAACATATTTTGCTAGGGATTTGTTTACTTATCAGTCCATACACAAATATATGAATGAAGAAAATAGTTTGAGGCACACATATACATGAAATGAAGAGTATATCTTTGTTGTACAAATATTTGAATGGAGAGTATAGTTTTCTGCAATCTGCACATGTGATTAGTATAAAAACAAAGAAATTGGAAGTTTAGATTTAGAAAAAATGTGCAGAAAATTCAATTACAAAAAATCAACTAGGATAAATATACAACTTGAAAAACCATCATTCTGAGGAGCAATCATGTCCAAAGATCATCCAACTTGTATACACCATCTAGCTTTAGCATCGATTTCTTTGTTAACAAATAAAATCGTTAAAAAAACCATTTGCAAATATTCAAGACCTATTTTCGGCCTTTTTCTATTTGAAAATGTATAAAAATTGCAATAACATTAAACCTTATTTTTGTAAATCAGTTTTGTGAATTCTTTTTCTTTTCTAAAATCGTTACATCAGATGTTCCATTTTCTCAAGATTTTCTTTACTGTTATCTAAAAGGTGCAACAACGTGTACATATATATGGGATGGTCTGAGGTACAATTTTAGACAATTATAGATTTCAAACCACAATTCTGATTGGTAAATTTGAGTTTATGAAAAAATGGGATTTTTATTTCCAGAAATACACTAAACGCGCCATAGAAGGAGAGTGTGGGGATGTTCCCAAAACTTCATGATTGCATATTTTAATGCAATGATCTCATCCTTTTTTTAATGAGTTCTCAAGGACACAATCACATCAAGTGTTATTTGTCTATCCAAGAGTCCATAACCTTATATATTTATTTAACACTATTTTTCTAGAAGTTCTTTTTAATTTAGAGTGAAAAAAGAGCATAAAATCTACCTAAATATATAAAGAAATCATGAGGGGATACTATTTTATAGTATATCTAAATGCAATCTGATATCCAGCGATGCAGTAATTAATGGGGTATTGAAAAGCTTTAAAAAGGGGACCAGCTTGGGGGAGATCTCTCTATCTTGTGTATTTCTTTTGAAAGAGTTGAAAGAATTAAGAAGAAAGAGAAGTGCGAATTTGAAGGGATCATAAACAAATCTTGAAGATGAATTACTTTCGGGATGCTGCAGGAAATGAGAGATCTGTAGGAGGATCATCGTCAAGAAAAGGGAAAAAGAGTAATTCAGACAAGCCAAAGCAACCCCAAAGAGGCCTTGGTGTGGCTCAGTTGGAGAAGATCAGACTCCATAGCCAATTGGGGTTTCATCCAACTAATCTCCATCCACAGGTATGCATCTTCAATTCTCTCTCAACCTGCAGGCAACATTGGTCAAGTTTGGGTTTGAGGTTTCATGGGAAGAGTTGAATGCCAGACCTGTGGGTTCTGATTAAAATGATTGGACCATCATGCCTCATCAGGGTTCAAAGCCTTTTAGCTTTGAGACTAGGATGATTTGGACTTGAGTTCTAGTTGACTGACTAGACCACACCTTAATTAGGGTTCTAGGTTCTCATTTCTTGTTGAATATTTTACAATCGAATGTATGTATATATATATATATATATAAATGCAGGAGGATATAAGGATTCCAACTGCCTATTCGCCATCATCATCTTTCTCATACACTTCACCATCGCCAACTTATAATACTCCACAAGGACAACAAAATATCATGGTGTGTGCTAATTCTAATGCTTTATAAACAACTCCTATATATGACGAAACCAACATTTTAAAGTCCTGTTAGTTGATGATATTTAGCCCTAGGATACTATCATTAATTGCCATTGCTAGATGGAACACTACTAGTTTAGGTCATCACTTAAATTGACCACAGTTTTGCCAAAAACTGTTATTGATCGACCTATTTTTGGTATACCCTTTTCAAAATTCTTTAAATTTACCATTGCTTTGCAGATGGGAATGGGAGAACTAGAAAGATCAAACATGGTATATGGTCTATCACAGCCTAGCGGTGACCCGAGGTATAATGTTTTCCATTATCTATTACCATGTTGATCATGTTCTCCCTCTTGTCTAAACATGTTGATATATACATTCATGTCTCAAAGTGTTTTTTTTAATTCGGTACGTGATACTACGTATGACTAAGGCCACTTGGTGTCGTAAATGTTTGATCAGTTTATTGTCGCTAAAATATTCCTACTTCATAATTTTGTACTTATTCGACATTGAAATGAACTTTTTCTCGAGCATTTTATTTCCAAGTATTGATCTCTGTAAACCTACCACCATATTGGAAACAGATGGAATGCAAGCAATCCGATGTTTGAGGCTGAACACTTTGCACAACCAGGAATAACTAGACACCTCTTTCAAATAGAAGTAGAGGTAATTAAGTGCATATGCACATGTTGATTAGTCTGTATTATCTACATAATACATAATAGAATGCTAGTCTTCTGCAGCACTAACAGTTAATCTGTGTCTGTATATTATTGATCATACGTAAAGGACTCGCTCAGGAAGAAGAAAAGGAGTGATTCAATGGGGTCAAGCAGTCAGAATTCAGATTCAAATGGCAGTCAAGAACTGGATTTGGAGCTAAGACTTTCGCTTTAACTAAATTATAAATTATTCGCAAGGGTGCGAAACGGTGTAAGAGTTAACATCCTCTTCTTGTTGGCCCATAAATTCAAAAGAAAGCAAAACTGGTCGGAAATTCCCAAGTTCTGGATGCAAATAATCAAGATCATTAATCTAATTTTGTGTTTTTTATGGGTTGATGATGATCGTACGTTATGCATCTACAGTGCACATTTTCATTCAAATAGTGTACATATTTTCACTATTGATTTCTCAACAAATACCCTATTCAATATTGAAATTAATGCTTCATTTGTCTCAAAAAGTTTTTATCCAATTTGAAATTTGTACTGAATATGCATCTTTTTGTAGAAAGTTGGTAACTATGAGCTGAATATGATCCATATATATCCAATTTTTTTCCCTTTCACGTGATTCATGAGTTATAAAGCGTTTTCTAATCTCACTTTATTAAAGGGACATAAAAGAGAAATGGTTAGATTAATATAATCCTAGAAGTTGGTGCTTTTTGGAGAATAAAGCTCTCTAAACACAAAAAAAAATTAAGGGAAGTTAGCATTCTTCAAAATAAGGGCTAGGGTCATCAACTTGTGTTACATAAAGAAAACTGGCAATGATGATGATATCCGTCGGTAATCCCTCCAACAGACCCGGTTACCGACTATTTTCTGACAGCCCACAAACAGCCAATGGATTTCCGAAACCCTGTGCCTTTTTCGCAGATGTCTCTCCGAGAGACACACTTAGTGGTGGATTTGCGAACACTAGGTTTACTGATGGATTTCCAAGAGACAAACTTAGCGACGGATTTCCAAGAGATTATGTTACTGGTGGATTTTCGAGAGAGATTGTATTAACGATCTCCAAGCCTTCATTAGATCACCGACAAAAGACACACCGAAGGATCTCCGGATGACACATTTACTGATGGCTAATTTCTCGGTAATCCATCAATACTACTTGCATTTTAAACAATTTAAATTATTCTTATCTTCCGGTATAAATACACATTTCCCTTATAAGCGTCAAACAAAATCTGTTATGTACAAAAACCATTCGACCAAAATTATCGTACAACTTAGTTGCAGATACTAACTCTAGAAGGGGGAGGGGCGCAGGGCCAACATTGTCTCAGGCTAATCTGGAAAATCATGTCCTCATACGTTTGCATATTGATGGTTATTATGGTATTTTAGAAGAACATGAAAATAGTTAAATTACGTAGAAATGACATGTGATTTTAAACCAAGGGTCAACGTAAAGGTGTGTAGGCGACTATGTGTAGGCGACGTGGCTCGCAACCTTAGGTGGCAGCAAAAGTCGTGTGGATCACATGTTGATTTTACACGTTATTCTAGTATAAAAGCAAATGTGACTCGATTGTTTTTCATATTCTCTTATTTACTTAATATTCTAGTATGAACCTGACTATATATAGGGTTGAGTTCACATGAGACCATTTTCGTGAGATCTGTAAAACCCAAAATTTTAATTTTAATTATATAAAAAAAAATTAAATATATATATATATATACGAGTCTTTAAATATATAATTTTTAGTTATTAAATCTATTTGAAGTGTTAAAATATTTATGTGATTAGTTGAAGAAATAATTATTGAAATCTTAAACTTAGAAATRACCAAAGTTGAAATAAAATGTTGATTTAGGGGTAAAAAGTGTAAGCCTTGTTAAAATAGTGAAATCAGGGGGTTAGTGGTAAATGTCAGAAAGTTTTGGGGGACAAATGTCATCTTTTCAAAGGACGAGGGACCTGTTTTGCC